AGGATTTAAAGCCTAGGATTTCTGAAGAGAGAGTCGGACGCTGTGAGAGTCTAGGGCTGCAGGGTTTCAGGCTTCTTCAAGATCTCCCATCGGGTTTAGGCTGTTGCTACGTTCGGGGTACGGACACTAGAAGAGAAAAAGGGTGTAGGTTTTCTGTCAGCACTAGTCAGGGCTTGCATGTGAATCTTGTAGGGTATCCAAAAACAACTCTTTTCTACAAGTTCAGGGTGTATTTACGTAGGGCGTGGGTTCGTAAAGTTGTGGAAGCTTGAGGGTTTAGGGCTCTGAAGAATTAGGAGTTTAGGGCTTAATCGTTCTTTGCTGTGGGTCCTTTTCCTACCCGCCTGGAGACACGAGACACACTGGGGTGCGCATGCCTCAGTCAGTCAAGCTAAAGAAGTTCGACAGATGCGTCTGTATCTTGGTTAAGTACCGGCTGAATCTCTACCATGCTGATAACGATTTGCTAACTGATAACAAGCAGCCGCGAAGTGCAGAATATGGTTGGGTAGATGTTTAAGTTTAGATCGCAATTCGCTGCGGATGATAGCTACGACTCCCACATCTATGAACATGACTGTCTTAGCGCACTCGTGTATGGTATGCCGGAGCTGCCCCAAAAGCTCACCACGATGGAGGTGCCCACAGATGTTAAATCTGACCACCCATTCAAGTATATTACCTATCATTATCCTATTATCGTACTATCCCAAAACCATAATTAGCTTATGACAGCAAGGAACCCGAAGGAATCATATTCATACTGCTCCCATAGTTCACCCCGGTAGGCCCGAGAGCCCTGAGCCCTGAGGACTTCTCTCCGGGACCCCGGCAGCGGTGGTGCTTTCGTCGACAGAGTCACAAACCACCTGGGAGTGTCCGAAAATAGGGGGTTACCTTGTATTTTCTAATATGGATCCGTACTATTTTGGGGCACTCTATTAAGATTTTTGGGGTCCTTACAATAAGGATCCCTACTATTTAGGGTACTCTATTAGGGCCCCCTAGTTCCGGAAACTCCACCTGATGGCAGGGCTCCGGAGCTCTTATCGCAGCCCTTGAAGGCACCTTCGTAGTCCCCTTGAGGCTTATTGAGCAATAATAACAATAATCAGAATAATAATAATAATCATCATCATCATCATCATAATAGTTTATTATTATTATTATTATTATTATTATTATTATTATTATTATTATTATTATTATTATTATTATTATTATTATTATTACTATTATTATTATTATTATTACTATTATTATTACTAGTATTATTATTATTATTATTATTATTATTATTAGTATTATTATTTTATTACTATTACTATTATTATTATTACTATTACTATTATTATTATTACTATTATTATTATTGTTATTATTTTTAATATCATTATTATTATTCTTCTTATTCTTATTATTATTATTATTACTGATCATTTTTTGGTAGCCCTAAGAGTAACCCTTGTAGAGCCATAGTCACCCTGTTGGGCGGGTCCGAGAGGTAGCCCTCTTGAGGAGTCCTCATAGAGGCATGCTGGAGTCCTCAACCCTAAAACCCTAAACCCCAAAATCCTAACCCCTCAACCCTCAACCCTAACCCCTCACCCCTAAAAGCCCAAGTCCTGACAACCCTAAACCAAGGGGGGATGAAAACTCTGGGGGCCCCGGGCCCCGTCGAAGTCGAAGCACATCACGAGCTTCGATGCCTGATCTGCCTGGGTTCCCAAAGTAGCCCAGGCTTCCGAAAAGGGTTGCGATGAGGGCTTCTGTTAAGGGTTACGATAATGGGCTTGTTGAAGAGTTCCTAACAAGGCTACGATACGGTTTCGGAAAGGAGGCGGCTCATGCTTCGGGGGTTTAGCAAGGCGGTGCTTCAGGAGCCCTGAAACGTTGCAAATCCTGAGCTCAGGTGCCCTTAGAAAGGGGGTTGGGGGGGAAGTCTAACTTCCTGAGATGCTAGATCATACGAGGCCGCTCCAGGGAGTTTGGAGCCTTGAATTACGCTTTGGGGTTTCGGTCTGGTTTTCGGGTTTAGGGTTTCGGGGGGCTGGACTGAAGGCTCAGCCTGCCCGAGAAAGAGCCTTGAAGCCCGACCAAAAAAGGCGTAAACACTAACAACCTCGTCAAACACCCCGCAAACCCTAAACCCTAAACCCTTGAGAACCTTGTGGTACAAAACCCAGCAAAAAAAACACGCTAACACGATGCAAAACGGTGAAAGAACCCCAGCTCAACGAGCTCCCCACGGCGGCCATGGCCACCGAGCGAGAGAACCTGCGTTTGGCCCAGGGCTCCGGAAGAGGAGGGCCACAAGTCATGTAGGCGCCGCAAGAGTTAGAATAGGAACTTGGGGCATATTAGAGTATAAAAATAATAAGGAACCCTGAGGAATAATATCGGTAATTTTGTAGGTTCTATAATGGCAAAGCCAAGATGCGGCCCAGAACGGGGTTTGGCAGTATAGTACGGTGCAGCTTGCTCATACAGGGGTCGAAGCCACGCATGGAACGCAGGTTGAGAGGCTAGGATTTCAAGACTGGGGTTCAGCGTTTTGTTTGGGTTTGGAGTTCTTTAAGGCAAAGGGTCTTAGGACTAGGACTTGGGCTGAGTGTGCGATTTCAAGACCAGGGTTGATTAAGGTTTGCACTTAGGGCCTTGGGTTTGGCGAATTGGGTTTCGGGCTCGGCCTGAACTCAGTTGACTGAATGAAAAGCCGTCGAGACGCTTGCGAAGCTTGCAAGGCCTACATCCTGGAGCTATCCACACCTCCAGACTTCACCAGAGTCCGAATTCTCAACACTTTGCGAGCGGGATCCCTGTGCCGCCGACACCCTAGACCCGAGACCCCCTAAACCCTACAGCCCAAACCGGAAATGCCGAGACCCCAAGCCCAGCCCCAGCATCCCCCAACACCTAAAACCCCCCTAAACCCAAGCCCCAAGACAAGGAGAAGGCTGCAAGTTTTGCCTTCTTTGCTGCTGGCGTCTTCGCAGGCGCCTGCTTCAAAGGCGTCAGGATTTCTTAGGGTTGAGGGTTTCAGGGATTCGGGTGTAGGGCCTAGGGTCTTGGGGTTTTTTGGCTTTGGGGTAAGGGATTCAGGCTACTGTTCTCGAAACAAGGCTCCATGGGCATGTGAAAGCTATCGCGGGGCCATCTGACTTTGAAGCTGGACGATCACTGCTGCGATTTGTAGGTGTAATGATGGTAGTTTCGGTGGAAAGTTGTGCTACAAGTGCAATTCAAGAACGCTCAGAGAGCTCGCTGTCTCGTGTGAGTGCTGAGGCAAGGTCTGACGGGAAAAGGCCCCGTCTAATTCAGAATTAGAATAAGGTTTGGGGTATATTATACTATAATTATAATAAGGAGCCCCCCAAAATAGTATAGGTAACTATTGAGGCCTCTATATTAATGTCGACACATGGAACGGCCTTAGAGCATGAGCCGCCCCAGCCAATATCGCTGCACACGGCAACAGCCTCAGCGGTGGTAGCAGGACAACCTTCGCAGCTGGAAGCAGCAACATGCTCTGCTCGCGGACGCGCACATGCTGGGACAAGGCTGCGCGCTGTTCCCTTTGAACGCGTTACATTGTCACCAAACTGTCTGCACTACAATGACAATGTAATCAAAGAGAGCAAACCGAAATACACATAGCTCACGATGTCGTAAACTCGGTCACATGCCGGCACCCAGCAAGGCCAGCATGCGGGCGAGCAGCGCTGCTTCGCCTAGGTGTGTTCCCCGTTCGCTCTATGCGGCAACAAGCTAGACGACGACCAAAACCACTGATTCCTATTCCGGTCGGCAAGAAATGATAATTACCCTCGGGTGCAATCAGATGTCTTTACTGGTTTGGCTCCAAATATCAGGCTGCATGGCTTGAAAGGGCTTGAAAGGTCTGAGCTACCAGCAGTCCGTCCTGGATTCTACAGTCACAGTAGGTCCCCAGCTTTGTCGATCGGAGGCCCTGCTGCAGCCTCGGCTCTCGATCCCCCCCACACAGCATCGCCTCACCCAGCAACCTCGCACAGGCTGCTAGACTATGGTTGGGGAGTATGTTAGGCTGTCGTGAAACGGGGACTACCAGGGAAGATTTGCCTGAATCATTTATTTATTTATATATATATATATATATATATATAATATGTTATATAGTATATATATATATATATGTATATTCCGAACCCTTGAGAACTCTTCCGAGGCCCGCGGCTCTCGGGTGCGGCTCCGGCACGGGGCGCGGAGGCTACACAACTGCCTGAGTTGAGCGACGGCTTGGAGTTCATAGGGTTTAGGTACGTGCAAATGATGCAGGACGATGGGCGACTTCCGAGGAAGCAAAACACATCCCTGCGCGGATGGCAGTCAGCTCAAGCAAGAAGCCACCTCACGGGGCCTGGATCCCTGGCACTCTTGGGCGCTGGCCTTGTCTCGACTTGCATGGCAAGGGCCATGGCAGCGGCCGTGGAGAACTAGAAGCTGTCAACACGGACTCGCTCGGTGCCATGTAAGCCTAGAAGGATGCAGTGCCTGTGACATGCTGTTCTGCAGCGCATTTCGCGCCGTGCAAGATCCTGGCAATCTGGTATGGGTTTCAGGGTGGCGACTCATGCCCTGGGCCCGAGCCTACAGTAGTCTAGAAGTCGCGAAGTGTGTAGACTCAGTCGCCAGTCCCGATCTTTGAAGGTTGGTGGTGGCGGTCGTGCCGAATCTCTTGCTTCCTCTGCCCACCACGCTCTCAGAGCGCAGTTCAAGCGCTGTATTCCATTCGAACTCCATGGTGAGCTCAGAGATAGCGCTACAGCATCGAGCCAGTTGACGGCCGTCGCATGCCCGATTGCTCAAGAACAGAGGGCCAGCTGCGGACCCCAACCTCCAACTGGTCCCCAACTGAAACAAGCACTAGATTCCGTCCCGGGGATGCTGTAACGCACCCCTAAACCCTGACCCGTAAGCCCTAAGCCCCTAAACCCCTGAATCGAAGCCGAGCTGACGGCTCGGAAGGTTGCCTGCCTCGGCAAGGACAAAGATGTGCAATCTTCACCAGAATCTTTGATAAAGGTCCCCGATAATTGGGCGGGCCCAATATTTAGTCCCTTTAAACCTGCAGTCTACAATACATGAAACGCAAAAATAAAAATAGAAATAAAATACTCATACCAACTTGCTCTCATCCTTCAGGCCCCCCTAAATGCTTGCGCTCGACCAGCTGCCTCGCGATCCGCAACTCAGGCCCGGGCAGCTTCGCAGCACACCTGTCGACCTCAGGCTTCTGTAAGGAGTCGTTCTTGTTAAGATATGGGAGTTTCCGGAAATTGGGGGGTACCTTATTTCGGGGGTCCTTATAATAAGGATCCTGGATCCTACTATTTAGGTTCTTGTTTCGATGCATTTACAAGGACAGGGGGGTCTTTGTGGCTTAAGTATAATGCTTCCGGGTTGAAGGAGCAGGGCTAGATCTGAAAGGGTAAGGTGCGATGTGTCGGAACATATGGGAGTTTCCGGAAATTGGGGGGTACCTTATTTTGGGGGTCCTTAAAAATAAGGATCCTACTATTTAGGTTCCTGTATCAGGGTCCCCAATTTTCGGAAACTCCCATAAGGAATCTAATTTAGGTTACCATACTAGGGATCTACACGGGTTCCGTTGAGGGATCTATAAGGGTTCCTTTAAGGGCTTACGGATGTAGTTTAAGTTCCGTACTAGGGATCTATAGTAAATAATGGGGTTTCCTTGTTTTGGTAACTTAGGTTAAACCCTTTAACAAGAACCCCCAATTTAGGGGTTTGGGATGTGGGGCTAGGGTAGGGTGTTTGTTTGAGCTCCGTTTTCCGTTTTCCCTTGCCAACACCGCCTGAACGAAAGAAGGCAAAGGTTAAGGTTTGGAGCTTAGCATCTTCATTCTAGCACATGCATTTCTTGTCCAATGACGGCACAGTAAAAGCAAACGCCAGCAGCTCCCGTTACTGCAGGTGGGTTGACGAAAAAACCCTCGTTTCACTTGTATTTAAGGATCCAAATCGACGAGCGAAGAGAAGGGGATCGTGAGTGTAGTGCAGGAAGGATTAGTTGGTAGTGTACAGATACATGTTCTATTGGACGAAAGTTTTCTGCCTAGAACAAATTCTCTGTCACACCACGGGGTCCGGTCCACCAGAGGCCCCGGTAGACACGAGAAAAGGGTCCTCTTACCCCATGGAACTTCCACAGCCCAAGGTCCAAGAAGACTTCAAGGTTTGGAGAATGCGGGGACAAATTGGCTTGGGCTCAAGCTTGACGAGGGTTTGGGGGCTCAGGGATTCACCGCTTGGACTTGGGTGTATGTAGAGTTTAGGGGGTAGTGGTCAGGCCTGCCAACCATGGGCCTTTTGCAGCAGAAGGCCAGCTCCCCCCAAACACAAGGCCAAGCTTGCCCATTAGACACCGACGGTTGCACCCAGAACCCAAAACTCTAGACCCTTAACCCGGACTCGAAAATCTGGACCCTAGACCCTAAACCCTGAACTCTAGACCCTCAACTCTGGACCCTAAACCCTAAAGCTCGCAACAAAACAGCCTGAGCCTGGGCTGGACTGGGCGCTGAGCCAGTTTGCGAGCATGCCGTCGGATAAACCTCAGTGCTGTTCCCTTGAATGGGGTGTTGAGTTTAGGGGTTTGGAGGGTTTGGGCGAGCTTCAAAAGATTTTGGGGTTTAGTCCTTGAGATTTAAGGTACTATCGCCTCAACAGTAAGCCCGCTGAACCCAAGCTCCCTCAAGGATAAACCCCATCAAACCCCGCAAAACCCTAAGAAAAAAACCCTACAAAGCCCACAATGCCACAACCGCCTGCAGCAAAGGAGCTCGCATCGCTCCTGCATTGGGGAGGTCAGAAAGACCTGAGCCGATCCGGCGCAATGGTACTGGGGAGGGAGCCCGGGGAAGATGATTTGAGTAGGGGTTTTGCTGAGTCCAACTACAGCAAAGGAGCCCTAAAAGCAATACTATTGAGAGAACGTTATCGGAGAAGACCTTCCATTCGTGGTTTTATGGGCGTTACTCCCTGGCACCTAATCTTTACAAGGAAGCATCTGTGCTGCCTTCTCGGTCTCCGAGTCAGGAATCAAAACCCACAAGACTCTGCAGAACACCCAGCAACCTGCGTGCCCCCCGAGCAACCGGCCCGCTTGTTGCCGACGGCATAGCCAGCTCCTCTGGGCACGCGGAAGGCTGCCGCATCTTCGCAATTTGGTGTAGGGGTTACTACGCTCTAAACTCCAGACAGTCAGGGTTAAAAAAACCCAGGTGACCGGACAGCGGCACGAAGTCCGAGAGCATTCTACGCCGCATGCATGGGGTTTGGATGCGGGGATGCAGCGGTTGGACCTCGGGCCATGCGATCCCTCGCAGCTCGGTCGATGCTTGAGGCAGGGGCGCTGCTGTTCGTTGCCGCCAGCGGAGGGTGTGCGGGCCTCAAGTCAGCACTGCGGAAGGTCTGCTGCGCGGTTGTGTCGCAAAGCTCCAAGTACAAAGAAAAGCACTGAAGCCTACAGCGGAAGAGCAAGACCGTTGCAGGCCAAGGACGAAGGGCGATGGAGCAGAGCTAAGGAAGGCTTAATGGATTGCAAATTCGCACGCAGCCAGGCTCATGTACAGACGCAAAGGCTACGTAAACCGTGAGATTCAGGACCAAGCCCTGGGCGTTCAAACCCCAAGCCTCATCCCGCTCCTTTCAGGCCTAACCCGAAACTCCAGAACCGAAAACCCGGCAGCTCCATCTCTCTATCTACATCTATATGTATGTATACATGTTATGTATATATGTATGTATATATGCATGCAAATATGTGTGCGGCAGAAGCAAATGCATGTGTGTGTGTGTAGGTAGGTATGTATTTAGGGGTGTCTGTGTCATGGTGTACATGTAGGTGCACACACACACACATATATATAATTATCAAATTATTCATTTATTTATTTATTGATTTATTTATTATTTATATATATACATGTGCATAAACATAAACATAAGCATAAGCATAAACATACACATATTCATATCTACCTAAATACATACATAGATATAACATGTATATATACATATATACATACATGTACACGCTATGCACATCCAGGCCCTCCCCGGGCGCGTGCCATCTGCTGCAGGCTCGGCCGTCGCGCGGCACTGCCCGGTGGCCCAACCTCGGCCAATCGAAATCTGTGAATGTTCGCTTTCAGACCCAACGACGGAAAAGTTGAAAGATGTGGGGTGTTGGCTTTACAGTCGCGGGTTTAAGGTTCGGGTAGTATATGGAATGCCAAGATCATGAGCAACAGCACGGCGATGGCTTCCTGCCATCACTGGTCACTCAGCTGACGGAGTTTAGTACATTTTACTCTACTATGGTATGCTTAGTATGTTTATGAAATACTTTGGTAATCGATAGTATACGACGTTATGTTATAGTATATGATGCTTTGGTAGAGTAATTTAGAGTACATTATGGTATATCCTAGTACGTTATGGTATACTATAGTACATTAGTACATAATGTTGTGCTTGAGCCGCGGGCTGCTGCGAGGACCTCCAGCGTCATTGCTTTTGCCGCGGAAGCCTCGTCGCCACCTCGCCTGGACACCTCCAAGAAGAGAGAACAGGTTCAGCCTTTAGGATTTAGGGACGTGAAGATCAGCATTTAGAGTTCAGGTTTAGAGTTTTGGGCGCTGGGTTTAGGGGTTGGTGAATTGTGCTTGAAACGCACATTGTCAGTGCTGCTTCACTGAAATCTTTGCCAGAGTCGCCTGCCGCTGCCACGTGGGTCCGAAAGGCAAGCAGCCATGGACGGCAACCTGGGTTTCTGGTCTTGACGTGCAAAGATCGAAGATGCCCGAGCATGCCAGGACAAGGAGGTTCTGAAGGCTTTAATACAATCTGCACAGTACTGTAGACAACGGATGCAACGGCGAGGAACTCGAGCCAATGTACTGATGGACCTACACGGCACAGGATAAGCCAAACTCACAGACGAAGCTCACACTAGTGCAGCCTGCCTTCGCCGTTGTCTTCTCTGACATAACGCAAAACGCAGCAGAGCAGGCAGTGCCGCACAAGGGCATGCAGACTTGGACGCAACACTCCGGGGCCCTCTCGCAAAGCGCAGTGTGCTCCTCGAGAAACCTCGCAGACAGCATCAGAGGCTCGAGACTCTCGAAGCTATGTAAGTATCATGTAAACCTAAAATTCGGTATAAATACATACATATACATATATACAGGCAAAACGAGAAATGCATAAATAGATACACAGAAATAGGATATATAGGCATATTATTGTGTGCATATACATATACAGAGGTATATAAGTATATGGATGTAGAGATATACAGATATTATACAAATGCCGTATAGAGAGTATATATAGACAGTAAGCAGCTATTACCTAGATATCATACAAACAAGTATTATGTAGATAACATATTCAATATCTAGGTTGATATACATCTATAGGTGTACATATATATATATGTATATATGCTACCCCCCCCCAGATACCAATAGAATTGTGTGTTTTGTGCTCTAAACCCTGCAATTCATGACACCAAGACACTCGAAGGTCTCAGATACTTCTAGTGCACGACCAGAAGGTGATTTTGTTCATCCCCTAGATCCCGCAATTCAAGACGCATGCATCCAGGAGGCGCTTAATACAGGGCCAGGCAAGCCTGACTACATTGATGCCATACACATACAGGATGCTTCAGCACATGATAGGTAGTAACGGTTTAATGGCACCCTCTGTATTACTTAGACGTGCCTCTAATCTATCACCCATCCTTCCTTATCACACGCTAATAATAGTACAACCCTAACACCAACAACTACCACTACCACTCCTCCTCGTGCTGCTGCTGCTATTACTGCTACTACCACATTACTACATGTTTAGTTAGGTCTATGTGTTTCAGCGTCATTCCACATCTTGCCCCAAATATATCCAAGCGACCTTTTCCTAGACCATGTTTTCTCACCATATTGCTCCTGAATATCGTATCATGATATTAAGTTAAATCCTGTCACATATCCAACTATTATCAAGGTGGTCATAACAAACCATCACAAGAACCGTACTACGACTACAATCTACTACTGATACTACTACTACTACTACTACTACTACTACTACTACTACTACTACTACTACTACTACTACTACTACTGCTGCTGCTACTAACTATGCGTGGGGGATTGATCTCGACTTGGTTGCTGCTCTCCCCACCAGAGCTGTAATGAATGTAGGTGTGGCTGGCTAGCACTCTCCACAGACTGGACCCTGTCTCTCCCTCTTACTTCCACACGTGCGATCCTATGCAGGCAGAACCGGCGGCCGTTCCTTTTGCACTCACTGCCGGCGGCGGTTCGTCTGTGCAACGGGATAGCTCTGATTGCTCAGGATAGAAGACACATATAGCACTTAGCTATGGGCATTGACTTGAGCCAAACGTTGCGTTGGCGGTCACATAGAAAGGTAAAGACGAGGGATGCGTAGCATGCCCCCTAGAGTCGAGGGACGCGTAGCGTGCCCCCTTCTCCTGCACTTTACACGGTCTTGCTCACAGCTCTTATAGTGACACCTTAGAACTTGACAAGGCATCGCAGTCCGTTCGCACCCCCCATGAGTTGCGTCTCCGACGCTGCTCACCCGGAAGATGGCACGATAGGACAACAGAAAATGTTCCGCCGCAACGTTGACATTGAAAATCAGAGCTTTGCATCCCAATTAGAAACGTTGTGACACTCATCTACGTCAGTAACGATCCCCTGAAATGGCAAACGAATCAGGCGTCACCGAAGAAAGAAGCATTCGCGATGGCATTCCATGGGCGAAGCTCAGAGGTCACGAACTGATAGGCGAGGAAGACCAAGCGTTGATTCATCTCCATCTTCGCGTGGTCGCAGGATCGCGGTCCCAGGGCCGGAGGTTTTCCTCTGGATACTGTTCCCGATGCTTTCCCTTGTCCTTGCCTTTGTTTCGGCCTTTGCCGGCGGTGTAGTCGTAGTAGGAGTTGGAGTTCCAGCCTCCATGTTGCTCACCTCCGGTTCTCCCACGCCCTTTTGAAGGTCCCTTGGATGAAGAAGCGCTTTCACGTTCCTCCGTAGTGACAGGCGTGTCCAGGATGGATGTACCACCTGGAGGAAGATAGTCAGCGGCCGAAATGTGGTGTAGGGCTTCAGTACGCTTGGTCGTCGGGTTTTGCTGTCTCTCAGCCTTGGATCTGTTCAATCTGTCCATGAAATGCGCAGGCATTTGCACACTGTGGTCCACCAGCAAGCCGATGGTCTGGACTGACTGATCAGAATGAGTCAGCAGAATACCGACGGGGTCGATGTACAAGAAGTCCACTGGTCCAGTTGGCGTTGGTCGTAGCACTGAGAATTGTTGGTGTCCCGTCACCATTGGAATCACCTCGCACAGGACGTTCAGGCAACAAAAGTGCATAGCCTTCACATCTTCATCCCTTTCGCTCTTCAAGTAAGTAGTAGGGTTGAAGTTGTCCCTGCCAATTCCCATCATGTTGGCTCCCCGTGTAAGTAAAGAAAGCATCTGGTTCGTCCGGAAGCGCTTCAAGGTGTAAGTCCCGTTGGGATCATACTGTTTGAGGTTCTCAGGTTCCTTGGCAAAGCGAATGATCTCCTCATCAGTCACGTCCTTGCTCACACCCGTTTCCCTATCCACTGCCGCCAAAGATCCCCACTTTCCAAGCACATCATAGCGTTGGCCAAGTGCGAAACTTTCCCTCATCTGAAACAACGGCATAGTCGCCCACTTTGCGAATCCTGACCAAGCCTTGTAGATGGATCTGCATACCACGTATGCCATGTACGAAAGAGCGGTCATGTTCGCGTCAATGCAATGGGCATTTCGCTTTCCAGAATAGTAGGATGGCTGCATGGCGGTACGTGCAAGTTGTAGCTCAGGATCGATGTTCAAAGACTGGCCGGTAACGAAGACGGGACGACGTTCCTGTGCAATTGCTTCTGGTACTGCGTCATCAAAGTCCTCTCCAGGCTCTATGTCCATTTCTTCATCAGGTTCCTGTTCTGGATCGTCCTCCGCGATGACAGATGGTTCTGGGATTTCCTCAGGTTCCGCAACGGTCTCTACCTCCATGGCTTCCTGCTCCTCTTCGGGCGCCTCAGGCACTGCGGCTGCTGCGGCTTCCATTGTCTGAGCAATGAAGTCACTGGGGATCTCCGTAGGAGTCTCCCGTTGTGGAGAACCTTGGTAATATCCGCTCGAAATGAACTGTGACCAGCAAGACGTGCATCGGGAGAAACATGCTGGAACGATGTTGTAGCATGCCGGGCATACCCTCATTCTCCGTCCATCCTCGTCTCTGCGTAGGTCTTCGGGTCGCCAATTCTTGATGACAAACTTGATTCCTTTGTCCATGTAGTGATGCCGAACCGTGTTCTCCCTGTGGGACTCCAGGACAGTCGTGAGGTCTCGAATGATCTGCTCCTTGCTTGTGTCGTGGGGTCCAGGAGGCAGCTCGCAAAGCAATTCCATGATCTTGCTTGGCGTTCGGTATCTCTCGAACTCAGGAAGCAACGGTGATGCATTGTAGTCCAACACCAGCTCTTTCTCCAACCTTTCATCGTAGATCTTTTCCACCAGAGCGAAAGAGTGTGTATCTCGAGGATCAGGGACGCAAAACCATACCTCCTTGACGAAATGGAAAGGTATCGTTCGACCAACGATCATGATGCCGCTGTCTGTGATACGTCCATCCTCTCGTGCAAGATCTTGCGATGGGACATGAAGGACCGCCAATGGCATGTGCTTGGCGTCTCGTCCATGTACTCGCATCTTGGTCGTTGCGTTCCGGTGATCGAACGGCGCAAACACCCCCCAATAGCTGTGGAGTCTGCCACCTTGGTTGCCTCGGAATTGGCGCCTATGGTCGAAGTCCCCGTCGGGGTCCTCCGAACCAGGCATGATGCCTTGCGTGACAATGGAATCCAAGTTGCGGCATGCCGTAGCGTGGAACGCACCTCCAAGACGTTGCAAGAGGGTCATAGATGGAGATATTGCGAACCTGTTCTTGTCCAACTGAAGCAAGTTGTTCTGGGGATCTGAATGCGCAGAGTGACCACTCGTAGCCCGAACTGCCCATGGCTTCACCCAGCCGTTGCATATGTTCAGGTACCTCTGGCCATGCCGGCAATGATCGTTGTTCTGGATCTCCGTGATCTGGTCCTGAACCGATACCAACCTGTTCGAACCTGCTGATCCAAGAACCTCCGTGCCGGGGTCCTTCACTCTCACACCCAGGAACTGCAACCGAATCTTGGCCTTGTTGCGTTTCGTGGCTGCAATCATGTTCCCCTGGAACAATAGCTGAAGTCTTTCATTGTACACTCTCTTCTTCTGTTGGTCATCGGTCCTTGAGACCCCTTCGGTGATGCGTCTGCTTTCATGGGTCCATAGTGGCTCATGCCTCACCAAGTCTTCGATCATCACCCATCCTCCTTCATCACATTTGATGACACTGTTGAATGCCACCTGGCACCTGTTGTCAAGCCATTCCGAGCCTGGGCGCCTGGCGATTCTGTGGCGCAAGTCAGACTGGATGCATGATAGCGCCCAATCCGCGTTCAATCTGCGCTGACGGGTGATGTTGCGAAGGACAACTTCGTTCACGATGTCCCACCGATTGTTGATGAAGCTTGCACCCTTGGTTGGGATCAGGTCGAGAATCCCGCACCGGATTGGCCTTCCGCCGCCGATGGATTCATAGCCTGGATTGGTGTAGCTATGAGTGTTTTCATCGTAGACATAGCTAGGACGGTCTCCTCGTTGAGGTAGGCGTCGGTCGCGATGGTCCGAAAGCTGCTCAATGATGTCCACCACTCGCTGGCTATTCTCTGGTCCCGATTCCTGCAGTGGTACGCCACAAGCATCATTTAGGCCCCGACGATTCTCCACATCCGTGCAGAGATTGTGTTTGTTCTCATAACGGATCAAGACCACATCACCCCGTACGGCTTCGCCTCCGCGTCGCGGTCGGGCTTTGGCCTTGGGTCGTCGGTCCGAGGATGCAACACTCACATGATCTGTGGTGTCAACGTCCATTGGCTCAGCCTCTTGTGTAGGTACTCGACGTGGATATCGAAGAA